CAATGTTTTAAAACATGATTTAAAACAATTCAAAAATCATTAAAAATCATTAAAAAACGTTTTTTTGCCATCCCTACGTACGACCAGAGCCCTCGGATTTTTATAGCAGCAAAAAATCGATTTACTTATTTCTGAAACCACGTGCCAATAATTAATATATTTATTTGTTGTTATTTTCGCGAAATTTGACCAGTGTTAGCGTTAGAGAAGAAACATCATATAGTAAAATTTAGCCAGGAACCTAGGCAAAATTTTGAGCTACCGGCGATGTTCTATTTCACGTTACACAAAGATTGCACCAGCTCTTGTGATCTACATATAAAAATTTCCTTTTTTGAGTTTGCCACATATTCAAATGTGGTTTGTTTTTAATTCTATATATCTGTATATCCATACGTAGAACAAAAATAAGAAAGATCTTACCGAATTTAGTTTGAATGATTTCGCGATATCACTACGTTAAGGCTAGCGTTAGGAATTGCAGCAGACTACAGTAGTACGGTATCACTTCATATTATATTGTCTACTATAATAATCTGTTACGCACGTATAATTCCTAATCCTGACATATGATACTTGATTCGTATGGTACGATTTTGACAAATACATCAGGAAATTTTTTTGGTCGATTGTTATTATTGTGTATATGTCGAATTGATCGATAGATATCGATAAGTATCGGTACGTAGGTATTTTACATACCCGTACTATACAGATTCAGTATTAGGGAACATATATGTAGAAGTCGATTAACCTTTAGTCTAATCCATAACAATAAATAAAGACGCATACCATTGTAATAAATCTATCGTTTGAAAAACCAATCAGATAAAGGTTTAAAAAAAAAAAACTTTCAAAAACATAATTTTAAAAAAATTAATTGGACAATACAGTAATTACTAATTAACAAGCTTGTTCATTTACACTACATATCCTGCATATAGTTTATATACTATACTGCACATAATGGTATACTATACGTATAAAATCTGTTGATTATCATGAAATATTTTAGGAAACTTATAAAATTGTAAAACAAAAAAAACTCTAACTTTAGAATTTTGTTACGTAAACATCTATCTGCACGTATAGTAGAACAAAAATGATTAATTGTCAATCAAATTACTTAAAATTGTAGATCAGAATTGGGCAGGGTTACTTTGTAGCTAAACGTACGTACTGTACGTACGTATGTACGTCTCCACATGTGTTCACATATGAAGATGGGTATGGCGTTATCTTTTTCAAACGATCGGAATGGTTTGCAGTGCCACATGCGTACATCAACTGCGAAAAAAATAAACAGAAATAATAAGAGATACAAATATTGGTTAAAAATCTTTCCCCAAAAAATTCTTAGTCTCTTCCCCATTCGGGGCTGAAAAATAAAATTCCTGATTTTCCTGCGGCATACTTATTTTTTTCAAGTGCTTTTCTTGACTCATCAAATTTTTATATATATCCCTTAATTCGAGTGAAAAATTGACTCAGCCTAATTGGTGTGCAATCGTCATTTAACTTTAATAAAAAAAAAAATTAAAATAAAAAAAAAATAACATAAATATATGTGTATTAAGCCTATTTCAGTCACTTTACAATATTTCATATATATTTGTGTGTTTTCTGTTTTTTTTTTTTCTCTTTTTTTTTAATTTCATTTGAAAATCGTATAATAAAACGGTGATTTTCTATGGCGAAATTACCTTTACCTCCTCAACCTGCAAAGGTTGAACCTATAAAAAACAACCCAAAAAAATGGCATATTCGAGATGATCCGATTACCTGGCAGAATTGGTATAAACATATAAATTGGCTTCACACTTCTGTACTTCTTTCAACACCTTTTATTGCACTCTACGGATTTTTCACTACAGATATTCAGTTGAAAACGTTGATATGGGCAATTATATATTATTTCATAACTGGGTTGGGAATTACGGCAGGTTCGTGAAATTTCCGAACATCGTCTCCAGGTGACTTTTTACTAGAACTCTCGATCTAGTTCAAACTTCTTTTTTGGCTTGAAAAAATAAATTTTGACCCAAGCCATTCAAAGCCATCAAGCGGTAATTGTTGGAGATGGGAAATTGCACATTTTGTTAGGATTCATAAAATGAATCTTTAGTTTAAATTAAATACCATATATTTAAATAAACTTTAGCGGCAATTTGTGCATCGCCCTATCTCTAGTAATTGTGTAAAATACGATATTATCGCATACAGTGCTATAAATTATATAATATTAGTTATTGGAATGACTTTCTTTATTTGGTATCAGTGTAACCAACCTTAATTTTTATTAAACATCTACTGCTAATAAATAAATTTAAATGGTTTAAATATGCAGGTTATCACAGATTATGGGCTCACCGTTCTTACAAAGCAAGTCGTCCTTTAGAAATTTTTCTTGTGTTTGCCGCTTCTGGCGCCGTTGAAGGTTCAATTCGATGGTGGTGCAGAGATCATCGAGCTCATCATAGGTGGACTGATACTGAATTAGATCCTTATAATGCTCACAGAGGCTTTTTTTATTCTCATTTGGGTTGGATGTTATTAAAACAGAATCCATATCGTATGGGTCGTGCTGATATATCAGATCTTAGTGCTGATCCTTTAATTATGTTTCAGGGCAAATATTACGGTGTATTTGCTTTGGTACTTGGGTTTATATTTCCTACAATAGTTGCTGGTTACGGTTGGGGTGATTGGAGAGTGAGTATAAGTTGACCTTTTCTCTCGATTTGTTCTTTTCTCTTAATTCATTCATTCATTCTATCTTTATTTAGGGTGGTTTTTATTACGCTGCTATTGCACGTCTAGTTTTTGTACATCAC